TGAGATGTTTGGGCGCTGAAGTCGCCATAGCCAATTGAGAGTGAACTCGTATCTGAAAGCCATATCTCTGAGTTTTGAGTGGGCGCATGTCGCCAGTATGCTGCGTTGCTGTTTACATGCATGAAAAGTGTGTTTGAGAACGAGTCTGATTGCACGCGGGTCTCGCGTGATGGTACCACCAGGCCCAAGGGAATTCGATGCCCAAGGGAATTTGGTGCCGTGGTCCGGCGCGGGGAGCGAAGCGAACCGTTTCGCGGGATGGTACCACCGAGCCCAACGGAATTCGATGCCGAGGGAATTCGGTGCCGCGGTCCGGCGCTCAGGGAAGCGAACCGTTTTGTGGCTAGTTTGCATAGCGCGCGTGTATCGACCGCTTCCTACCGCCTCGTGCTGCTCCGCCTTGGCCGGTTGCTTCGTGCTCGCGTCCACGGCCTTTCGTTTCGGTCGTGTGGAGCATGGTTTGGTGTCCCGTGACAACTTTTTTTTTTTGCGTGGCGACTTTTTTCGCCTTCTTGGGCCAGGCAGCTATCGAATGTGCCAAATGGATAATGGATCTTGCGGCAGGACCCGGGAAGATGCAGTAGGTGGAGATGGTGGGTGTGGCCAGACACGGCAGCGTCGTGGACGAGAGAGAGAGAGAGAGAGGGCAACAAACACAGATACATATACACACACAAATACAGACACGTGTACAACAACAACGACAAGAGAGAGAGAGAGAGAGAGAGAGAGAGAGAGAGAGAGAGAGAGAGAGAGAGAGAGAGGCGACGACATGAGATTGTTCCCCTTATCCTCGCGATCATGGTCATCTTCTTTGCAATCTGTGTTGTCGTCTTTTTTTTTTTTTTTGGCGCCGTCGCGATCTGTTCTTGCGTTCACAACTGTGATCACTTCCGTTGGGCCGCTGCAGTGAACACGTTCGCACCTGAACCTGGCCAGATATGAGGGCAAATGCATTGAGTGACAGGTATGTTAAGGTCCGAGGTGCGCTCGCTGCTGAAATGCGTGAGTGGGCAAACCTGGTCGGAAACCTCACCGGGTACGTTAAGCGAGAAGGGGAACGAAGGAGGATAGAGCAGCAGGGTGTCGTGAAGAGGTAGATGAAGAAGAGGGGAGTTGTGAAGAAGAGGTACGAGGGAGAAGATAGCATGGGAGGAGGAGGAAGGGATCAAAGAAGAATCGGAGGAAGAAAGGGAGAGTAGAGGAGCACAATGGAAGACAAAGGTGAAAAGGGAGAAGAGGAGACGAAAGAGGAAGAGCGAGAGCGGGAGAGAGAGAGAAAG